TAAGTTGTGTTTTGCACAAGAAGACACACGTTTTCACTGGCAGCTTAAAAACAATGCGGGCAATGAGCGAACGTGCGTACAAATGCGAAGAAACAAGCACGAAAAATGTCTAATATGCTTCTGCCACACGATTTCGGGTGCTTCCATTGAAGTCTATGGGGAAAAAAACGTGCCGTTAACTGCCAATAGAAGCTCATGTAACTTTTTGGGCGTTTTGAGTTTTCCTGCTGGTGTTTTGCTGCTCAGGTGTGAACAGGGGCCATTGAAAATCATGGAATTTCTTGTGTTGGGCATTTACCAACTGCTCAAAAACACCAAAGTGTGAACTAGGCCTTACTCCATCTCCTGTCAAACCTCCCCTCTGGCCCACCCCTTTTTTTTTTTCTATCTCTCCCTTTCCCTTCCTCTTTTCCTGTTATCCTATCGTCTCCCCACCCTCTACTTCCCTCAACCAGTTTGTTGTACCTTTAACAGTTATGGGTATACTGCTTTACAGTAAAAGTTTGGAAGCTGTTGGTCCTTTAAAGTCATTTTGCTGTGTTACACTCTATGCACAGACATAGGGTACATTTGTTTGGCCCTACTCCCAATGTGGTTATCTTCTTTATTCATGTGTCACTCTTATTTTATTCCCAACCTCTTTGTTCACGGTTTCTGTGTATTTGATCTGTACATTTTTATAAGAAATTTCCCTGTCTCTTTTTGTATTGTAAAATTGCTGAAAAATGTTGGCTTCTATAAAGAATTTATAGAAAAAAAAAAAGTATATAATGCAGGACAATCATTGAAAGTCTGAAGTTATCTTCTGCATACTTGTTCCTGGTCAGTAACTTTAAATATTGAGGCAAGATGGTCTAGCATAACTGCCAGGAATAGGGTATTTTCAGACGGAAAGTTCAGCAGTAGCAGCCTTGGTGTTTTACTCAAAAAAGATTATGTTGTCAGCATGCACCAGGGGTAGGCAACCTCTGCACTCCGACTGTTGTCCCATGAGGCATTGCAAGACTTTGACTTCCCACAGGCGTGACTCCCAGAAGCAGGGGCATGATAGGATTTGAAATTTAAGCACAGCTAGAGTGCCAAGGTTTCCCATTCCTTGCATGGATGGTTCCGCAACACTACTGATAAGGATGGGAGACCATTTGATGTCATGTCTTGTTTCCTCCAACTGAAACAGCCGTGCTTTGAGGTGATGTTTATATACTTGCACTTTATGTATAGCTTGCAGAATTTGTTAGCTTTGATGGCTATGCAATTTTTCTCCACACCTATCCATCATTTATCTATGCTATTTCAGCTACAGAGCTCTCAACATAACATTCCGGCATTATGGGACAATTACTCACTTGAATTTTCCTGCTGTTTCTCTGGAGGTTGGGTGCCAAAGACAGTACTTGAGATTCTCTGTGCTAGACTGGAGGCCTTGCAATTCCCATAACTCCTGGTTATACTTACCATGTCGTATTACTTTGAATAGGTCACTTTGTTATACATATTTTGCCGCTCATATGTTATCAAATGTATTTTGCTAATGTTGGTTTGGGGTGGACCCCTGGGAACTCCCCCCCTGTGTGTTTCATATACATCCACGTAGGTTATTCAGTGCTAATTGTCTTTTCTTTGCACTGTTCACTTTAGTGTACACATCATTTTTATCTCATCAGTTACCTGCTATTTTAGTTTCTGCCACTAGAGGACAGATTCAGCAAGTATTTCTTTTATTTCAAAAGAGTTTGGTTGCAAAAATGTGTCTTCTACTCTTGCCTTAAATCAGTCTATCCTTTCTCTGGTGTTTCCCTGCTTCTGTTATTTTCTCTTTTCTTTCTTCTGACGTGCCCTGGGAGGGGGATTCTTCATCATCAGCCCTTATTTCACACAGATGGATACTTGTATACTATCAATCTCTTCACTGAATGTCAGAGGATTTAAATGTTCCTCACAAAAGAAGTAACATTTTATACAATTTCCCCAAAAGAAAAAGACAGATGCTATATCTTTACAGGAAATACACTTAAAGGCTGGTAAGTTTCCTAAGTTGTGTAACCGATTTTATACCACCGGGTTTGAATATCCTCCTAACCCAGTCTCAAAATCTAAAGGGGTGTGAATCGCCAATTGTTTTCACCTGGAGATTTTACAACAGTGTATTGACCCCGAGTGGAGATTTATTTTCCTGAGGATTACATTTCAAAGTGCCATATATTACCCTGGTGAATGTGTATTTTAAAAACCATTTTCAGGAACAGTTGCTCTCCTTTCTTGTCTCCAACTTGGAAAGATTTCTCCATCATAATTTAATTTTTGGAGGGACTGCACATTTTATCTCTTTACTTGAAACCCTCAGCCCAAGTGTTGGTAAATGGTACTCGGTCA